TGTGTGTGTGTGTGTGTGTGTGTGTGTGTGCATGCATGTGTGTGCATCCGTGTGTGTATGAGTGTGTGTGTGTGTGCGTGTGTGTGTGTGTGTGTGTGTGTGTGTGTGTGTGTGTGTGTGTGTGTGTGTGTGTGTGTGTGGGTGTGTGTGTGTGTGTGTGTGCGTCTGCGTGTGGGACCTCTGCTAATGTAGGGGCTACGAGCTCTGCATTTTTTTAAATGCCATGTGGGAATGGTGCGATGAAAGTAGCTTGTCATTTCTTGAGGTGCAAATAGATGTACTGCTTAAAGGGACACGTGGAGCTCTGAGACTGAGTGAAAACAAATGTATATGTAAATGCTTTTTTGTATATTCCAGATAATTTATATTTAAGTGGACGACATCAAAGTTTCCTACAAAACTCATCTTGGTTTTTATCTAACAAACAGAATAGACGTTTCTTAGCTTACCGTGGCTCTGCATGTGGATGTTTTCATTCCATTCTTGATTCATTAGGTACTAACCGATGAACATTTGACGAAAGGATACAAATAGTCATTCATCCATTTCTGAAGATTTGTGTATCGGTGTATCTGTCATAGCCAGGACGCTCTTTCTCTAAGCAGTGCTTTCCACCAAACTTCTTTGTCTTTATCGGAACTCCATTTATTGGACCGTATAACTTTTTCCTCCAAGGTTCTCTGTTTATACTGGATCACAAAATAAATTACATTTATAAAAATGATCACACAAATGTTTTGATTGGGTGCATTATCTGTGACGGGCTAACGGAAAATGTGATTATAAAGTGCCTAATATAACAGTTCAACCAGTAAATTTTGTCAATTGCTCACATCATTCCAAACCTCTATGACTATTGTGTAGCTTCATAAAGGACAAGTAAAGCACTGTTCAAAATCTTTTGAAGCTTTCTATGAGAAATAGCTAGATCAAAAGGCCAAAAAGTTATTGGAGTAACTTTTTCTTATAGTGTTGCTCTACCCAAGTATGAATATTGTCATCATTCACTCACCCTCATGCCGTTTCAAACCTGTATGTCTTTCTTCTGTGGAACAAGATATTTTGAAGATTTTTTTGTTTTTTTTTTCCCCGAGAAAGAAGCTAGTCATCCAGGTTTGGAACGGTGAGAGGCTGAATAAATGACAAAGGTTTTATGTTGGACAAACTACTTATAGAAATGTAAATAATTTTATGTACAAACAACGTACACTAAATCATGATCAACTGTGATCCGAGAATTTTGGAAACTCAATATCGCCTCAACGTGAGAATTTTTTTTTAATTAGTCATTTTAATAAAGTCAGTTGCTGCCATGTTTTGAGTTATAAGGTCACAATTGGGAGATATAAAATTCCAATTTTTCCTCTGTAACCATTTACAAAGTTGGCAAGTGTGTGATGCCTAGTGCTGTAAAATCTGCTGACAGCATGTAGTGTATCCCAGCCTTTACTCATATGGGTTTAGAATGAGATAAGGAAACATATAAAAGACAGAATTTCATTTTTGGATGAACGAACCCTTTAATCAAACCGAAAACAAATGACCAAGCAAATTCCATATTTCACAACAGATAACATTACAGGTTGATTTGAAGCCACATGATATCATGCAGTTGTGATGCAGTACACTAGAATGTCCACTATGTGGTGTGAAAGGCATCCTCTGTGTAGACTAGACCAAGACTGTTTTGACCTCGACTGTACAAATAGCACATTTTACAAAGTGAGCTTTCTAGTGTAATTACTACCCTAAGATAGGAACATTTCCAGACAAAATTAGTTATTGTCACATCAATAAATACAGTATGATCCCAAAAATATGAAAGCACTTGTCATTTCTTGAATGCAACGCTGACTGGTGTTCAGATTGTGGAGACATACACTGAAAAAGACTGTTATACAATGCAAAAAATATATATTTTTTTACATTATTTATTGTTAGTCAGGAACAGACTACAATAGACACATTTTATGTCACAAAATTATGTTGAAGGAAACATTTCCAGTTTTATTTTCAGCTACTGGTATTTTGGTCAGTCACTATTCAATGGCAGCCGTGTCACAGCAGAGTATGAAACGTCTCGGCACTTTAGATGTTTTAATCATCACAAAGCAAACTTGGCCTTAAAGCATATTTTTCAAAAGGAGTCCGTCGTCGAGTTCACCTTCAGCCAGAGTTGGTCTGCGGGGAGACGCTGTGTTTAATACACTGACAGCAATAACAGAGATGATGTATGAGTATATAATAAAAAGCTAATTGGGAGCATCTGGGGCCAAAAGGAAGAATTCCTGAAGAAACCATGAAGCAGCTGTTAAGACGGAGTCATAATAGAGATCAATGGAGTTCCACTGGATGATTTACTCTCTTATAGATGCTGGAGGTGACTGACGGCTGCTATTCACTCCCCGTCTTCCTCCCCGACCTCCATCTGCTCCAAGATTCCCTCTAACACCTCCGCCTTCCTCTGCTTCTTAGGAGCATCTGAGAGAGATGATAAGGGGACAGATTTGTGAACAGATTTGTTTTAATTCAATTATAGAAGGCAAATGACTAGAATTGCAACCAGTGTTGGGGAAACAACTTCAAATTAGGAGTAGCTCGTGCTTTGGCAAGCAGTTAATCAACAGTCAAACTGCAATTTGGAAAAAGTATAGAAAAGGTTAGTTTTAATTGTTGTTTTAAATTTTGTCACTATTTAAGGGGGCAAAATCTTTCAAATTATGTATTAAATAAAAAGAATCAATACTGATTTTGAAACTATCTGGCACTAAAACTATGAATAGACTATAAATAGAATCAGGCATTGGTTTAATTGACAAATACAAAAAATGAAAGGCTGTAACAAATTAGTATAATTATTAAATTAGGCTTTTAGCAAGCCGACTTATTGGATGTTTATTCCTTAAAATTGTTGACAGGGGCCTTGACTCAACCCCATTGTTATTATGCTACCTCTTTTTGGTATAGTAGTTGTTTCCCAGGTATGAAAGATAAATTGCAAAAGGCTCAAATAATTTTAAAAGTTCATCCACAATGCATAAAACGGTAAAAAAAAAAAAAAATCTGTTTGGTGATGCTAGTTTAAACTGAGGGTTTAAATTGGTTTCTAGCATGTTTTAAAATTAGTATTTGGTTAGGAGTTAGTGTTTTTTCTTTCTTCTGCACTTCTGTGCATAGCAGTCGTGACCTAATGGTTAGAGAGTCGGACTTGTAACCCAAAGGTTGTGGGTTTGAGTCTCAGGTCCGGCAGGGATTGTTGGTGGGGTGAGTGAATAACCAACCAGGAGAGACCCTTGAGCAAGAACTGAACCCCCAACTGCTCCCTGGATGCTGCAGCAAACATGGCTGCCCACTGGTGTGTGTGTGTGTGTGTGTGTGTGTGTGTGTGAGATAAATGCAGAGCACTAATTCTGAATATGGGTCACCATACTTGGCCACATGTCACTTCACTCACTAAGCGATTGAGGTGTTCTGTTGTTGGATGTAATAATGTACATAGCAATCGTCATTTATTCCTGACATCTGAGCCACTGAAGACGCAGTGGATTACGTTTGTTACTTGGATGGGATAAATGCAGAGCACAAATTGGGGCACCATACGTGGCCTTTCCTTTCCTCTGTTCTTTATATTTACCGCGAGGTCCACAATGGAAATAAGTCAATGGCTTTTGTGTTTTTTATCCTCTACAGTTTTTTAAGTGTATGGGATACTTGTTATTTTGTATAGCTTGTAAACTTGTCAAATAAATTTTAATTAAATTCAAAGTTTGAATATTTTGAAGTAAGATTTTAAGTTTAAATTAGTTTGAAGGTTTTAAGTGTGACGCAGTTTTAAGTTTAAAGATTGAAGTTTGAAGATTTTAATTTTGAAGACATTTTAAGTTAAAAGGTTTAAGTTTGATGCAGTTTTGAGTTTTTGAGTTTAAAGATTTTAAGTTTGACAAAGTTTTTAAGTTTAAAGTTTTTAAGTTTAAAGATTTTAAGTTTGAAGCAGTTTTAAGTTTAAAGATTTTAAGTTTGAAGCAGTTTTAAGTTTAAAGATTTTAAGTTTGAAGCAGTTTTAAGTTTAAAGATTGTACGTTTGACAGATTTAAGTTTAACGTTTTTAAGTTAAAATTTTTAAAGTTTAAAGATTTTAAGTTCAATGTCGTTTTAAGTTTAAATATGTTGAGTTTGACACAGTTTTAAGTTTAAAGATGTTAAGTTTTGAAAAGCTTGAAGTCTGAAGATTTGAAGGCCATTCAGTCTCTCAGATAGATTGGCAGATTGTTATGTGGTTGCTAGGGTATTCTGGGTGGTTGTTTGGGAATTGCTATGCAGTTGCTAGGATGTATTGTAGGGTTTCTAGGGTGTTGTTATAGTGTTGCTATGCCATTGCCAGATATTAAACATGATATTTTGCCTATAGAAAATTATATTGTTAGAACCGTTTTTTGCATTAGGACATTGTTTTGTAGTGAAATAATGATGTGGACATTCACCTGTCCACTGACACTGGTGTGTGTGTGTGTGTGTGTGTGTGTGTGTGTG